ACGTCTCATCAGGGTTTGGAGTGTGGAGTGGGTGTGGGGTGACGTCTCGTCAGGGTTTGGAGTGTGGAGTGGGTGTGGGGTGACGTCTCATCAGGGTTTGGAGTGTGGAGTGGGTGTGGGGTGACGTCTCATCAGGGTTTGGAGTGTGGAGTGGGTGTGGAGTGATGTCTCATCAGGGTTTGGAGTGTGGAGTGGGTGGAAGTGACGTCTCATCAGGGTTTGGAGTGTGGAGTGGGTGTGGAGTGACGACTCCTCATTTCCCTAGCGATTGATCAAACTGAGTATCTTTTCATGCACCTTGTGTCTCCTCCCTAGAGAAAAGTCTGTTCATAAACTTGGCACATTTTTTAATTGGGTTATTGCATTTTTATAATGAGTTCTAGGGGTTTTTTATATATGCTGGATACAAATCCCTTAACTAAATACATGATTTGAAAATATTTTTCCTGTCTCTTGTTCTCTTTTCACTTTCTGTCTTTTCCCCATTTTAGCAGTTTTTGATGAAAGTTCTATGTAAGATTGTTTTACTCCTGCATCTTCTCAGCTGATTCTTCCTTGTCCTTGCCCCTTTCCTTTCCTGCGTGGCAAGATCTGGCTTTCTGTTGAAGGATCTCTTTGCAGTCTTTGTCCAGTTTAAGCCTAGTAATAACCACCTTGCTGGGGTGAACGCCCACCTGGACGGTCGTGTCATTAGCCTTGTCCTGCTGCGCCCGCTCAGTGTAGATGGCGTATTTCTTCCTGTAAAGCTGGACTACTTTGCCAACCTGCTGACCTTTACAGAGCCCCCAGACAACCTGACCTTCACCATCCTTCCAGATGGGCATGGATGGAACATTGTACTTTCGTCACAGCTCTTTGGAGAGAGGGGAAGACATAATCTTCCTGCGAATATGGGGAGGTGCATTGAAATGTCTTTTGCCTTTCTTGCTTCACTCAGAAGTCACAAACGGGGCAGCACCTGTGGCTTAAAGGAGTAGGGCGCTGGCCCCATATGCTGGAGGTGGTGGGTTCAAAACAAGCCCTGGCTAAAAACTGCCAAAAAAAAAAAAATTCTCTCTATCACTCTTTTTTCTTTTTTTGAGACAGAGTCTCTCTCTGTCACCCGGGGTAGTGCTGTGATGACATCATAGCTCACAGTAACCTCAAACTCCTGGGCTCACATGATCCTCTTGCCTCTCCTCCCAAGTAGCTGGGACTACAGGTGCCCACCACGTGCCTGACTCGTTTTTTTTACTTTTAGTAGATACAGGGTCTCACTCTTGTCAGGCTGGTCTTGCACTCCTGAGCTCCAGAAATCCTCCTGTCTTGGCCTCCCAGAGTGCTAGGATTATGGGCGAGAGCAACTGCACCCAGCTGATTTGTCTCCTCTTACTTTTCCTATGCCTTTGATATCTTGTCTAAAAAATCATTACTTAGGCCAACATCACAAAAATGTACTCCTGTGTTTTTTCTAATGGTTTTGTAGTTCTTTAGTTTTTACATTTGATTGTATGTTCTACTTTGAGTTAATCTTTGTGTGCAGGGCAAGGCAGGGCTGCAGCTTCCTTCTCTGCATGTTGATGGTTAGTTGCCTAAGTACCATTTGTTGAAAAGACAATTTTTCCCCCGTTGAGTTATCTTGGACCCTTTGTCAAAAATCAATTGTCATAAATGTTAGGGTTTATTTCTGGACTCCAGAAATAAACTAATTTATTCTATTTCCAATTCTATTTCCTTAACCTAGATGTCTGTCCTTATACCAGAACTATGCTGCCTACATTACTGTAGTATTTGGAGTTTTGTAATATATTT